AAAATAACACCCCCCAAAATGATAAGCAGATGCAAATTATACACCCTTGGAAGTACAAGACCTGTGATATGGTTTGTGTTTTGGCACACAACAAAGCACAATGACGCAAAAAGTGCTTGGAGCAACGTAAAAGAGGGTTTATGTTTGGTCTGTTTCTTTGATACAATTTTCATATTGTTTCGACCTTTTTTGGCTTTATGAATTGTCATTTGTCTCAAGACTTTTGATTTTTGTTACAAAACATAAAACTGTTCATTGTGAATGGTGAATTCGCCAGATTCCATGACTCACTGATCATTGAGTTGCGAACATGACATCCCTTGTCTGATCCACAGTGGGGAAGATGGAAAGTTCTGCATAGACATTCGATATAGAGCCCTCGTCTGAACTGGCCAAACCCAAACAGTGCATTCCTGCTCAGCCCAACACAACACATTGGGAGCCTCATTAAAGAGAAGCAAAACAGAAGAGTTTTGTTCACACAAAGGTCACAGAAGGCCTGTACCACCTCACGGATTTGCACGGGTCGGTTACGCATGCTGCCTAAGTGAGGCTGACCAGAAAAACATAGCAAAGCTCTGAGGTGTCATTAGGTCGAGCTTTGAGGTACTTTCCTTGAGGTCACAGTGAGTGATGGTGTCAGGCTTTAGTTAGAGTTCAATCTAAAAAAAGCTGATTGTGAAAGCATTTCAGACCTACAAGCTGAATACTGTTAACTACTTTATTATCAACATGGGTCTATAGAAACTGTAAAGCAATTAAAGAATGGTTAGAAAGTTTATGGTTAATCGTTGACATACATATGAACTTAAAACCAGAAATGACTTCCTTGTTTTTTCCCTTGATTCTTTTTCACAAGCATCTAATTCTTGTTTCAAGAATTCTTACTGAGTCAAAATTGCTTAGGTCATTGTCAGATTGATTAGGTCCCTATTTAAGCAATTTTTTTTCTTTTTCCTAGAGCGGTGTTTTTTTAATCAAAACTTAAAATCTATTTCTTAAATTCAGATGTCCATAATATTCTCTGTCATATTTTCTAAAAAAAAAAAAGTACCCTTAAAGTCTGAACTAGACAATTGTTCTTAAAATAAGAAAAGAAAGATATTTAAATTCTAAGATTTCCGTTTTTGCCGTGTAAAAAAACAAACAACGTAATATCTGTGACGTCCAGAGTTGGGCAAGTTACTTTAGTTACGCACCCCAGCACTTAATATTTAGTAATCCCCCTTTAACATTAATGGCAGCCTGAAGTCTCTTGAGGTAGTTGTCGATGAGGTTCTTCATCTTCTCTGTTGGTAAAGCAACCCATTCTTCCTGGCAAAAAGCCTCAAACTCTTGCAAAGTTTTGCACATTTCAGTTCTCCCCAGAGTTGTTCAATGATATTGATTGATGTCAGGAGACTGATGTGCCCACTCCAGTGTAACCAATAACAAGTGGACTTGTCCTAGTGTTTTGGGTCTTTGTCGTGTTGGAATGTCCAATAATATCACATGGGTGTCTAAACTTTTGATCAGGGGTCATTTGGAAAGTTTATGTTATTATACGTCATTTATAAATTTATGTCATTACAACACAGTTGTTAAACCCAACCACGAAGCATGAATGAAAAAAATGCATTATAATCTTCTGAAAAAATGGCCAAAAAGTCCAAACATTTGTTAGGGTAAACTTTTGAGTAACATCAAGTTTTATGGACAGTTAATTTATTTTTACTGCACTTATCTGCCAAACTGTGAACCAGTTCATTACATTACCAATAGGTCACTAATATAGACGGGTACCCATCCCTACAGAGATTTAAAATCTCAGGTGAGAACCTTATATTGAATCCTGAATTTCCCTAGGAGACAATGAAGTTCCCTTAAGATGGGAAGGAATAGGATATTGGAAAAAAAAAAACAAAAACGTTTAGGATCATTGGCCAAAGCTATTAGAAAATGACCTCTTGATGAGAAACGATGGGCTGTGATTTGTTATTTTAACTTGCTTAATCCCCTAGACGCATGATTCACGGGCCACAAGGAAGGCAGGACAAAGCTCCCAGCCAAGTACATCATCGACTGCTGAGTTCCGAACTGGGAGTGTAATTGTTCAGTATTTGGTCAGAGGTTGCATACAGTCATTGAGTTTGCACAGTGTTTACGCTGAAATAAAATACACCTTTTGTCAAACTCACAAAGAGAGTTTTAGGATTTGTATCCGGATTAGAAAAACAAAGACATATCACTTTTCTGAGTGCAGTGTCAAACAAAGCATGTGCAGGCATTCATGTGGTCAACAGTATTAGATACGCGCAGGTGTTTGCCTCCGTTGGATGTCACGCATAACTTGGCATTTCACTAACATTATGTTAATCCTGATCAGTAAGCTGAATGTAATTTGCTCGATGATTAATAGGATCTGAAGTTAAAGGGATTAAAGATCTCAAGACAAGTTAGTTCATAAAGCATGAGAGTCGATGTCGTTCACGAGCCTGTGATCTTGCTTCATCCCGGGGCAGACTGGGATTAAAGGATTAAAGGATGGGGCACAACACACTTCCACCTCCATGCCTTCATCTGTTATCTTCTGTAACCTGAAGAGAGGGTTAAGTTAGGGCTGGAACAATCTGGAGGATCATTCTGGCGGCCCAAATAGTAAATACTTCTGAGTAAGATGTTTGTGTGTCAGTCTATTTATAACTGAATGAAAATAATTATTAATTGATTAATCGCTGATTCTTTTGTGTTCCTTTTTGGAGGTATAAACAATGCATGTGACCTCCCTAAATACAGAACCTGTAGTGGACAAGAATAACATGGTACACGACACAGACTTGAAACTGTTCTGATATCAGATTCAATTTGAAATCAAAATCTAGAAAAATCAGAATAACTCTGTCCTGCCTTGTCTTGACTCAGACTTGGCCTGCATTGACTTGGGACTTGACCTGAACTTGTCCTGCATTGACTTGGGTCTTGACTCAGATTTGCCCTGCCTTGACTTGGAACTTGACTCAAACTTGTCCTGCCTTGAATTGGGACTTGACTCAGACTTGGCCTGCATTGACTTGGGACTTGACCTGAACTTGTCCTGCATTGACTTAGGTCTTGACTCGGATTTGCCCTGCCTTGACTTGACTTGGGACTTGACTCTGACTTGGGACCTGACTCGGACTTGTCCTGCATTGAATTAGGACATAACTCGGACTTGTTCTGCCTTGAAATGGGACCTGACTCTGACTTGTCCTGTGTTGAATTGGGACATTACCTTGACTTGGGACTTGACTCGGACTTGTCCTGCATTGAATTGGGACATAACTTGGACTTGTTTTGCCTTGAATTGGGACCTGACTCTGACTTGTCCTGTGTTGAATTGGGACATTACTTTGACTTGGGACTTGACTCAGACTTGTCCTGCATTGAATTGGGACATAACTCGGACTTGTTCTGCCTTGAATTGGGGCCTGACTCTGACTTGTCCTGTGTTGAATTGGGACATTACCTTGACTTGGGACTTGACTCAGACTTGTCCTGCATTGAATTGGGACATAACTTGGACTTGTTTTGCCTTGAATTGGGACCTGACTCTGACTTGTCCTGTGTTGAATTGGGACATTACTTTGACTTGGGACTTGACTCAGACTTGTCCTGCATTGAATTGGGACATAACTCGGACTTGTTCTGCCTTGAATTGGGGCCTGACTCTGACTTGTCCTGTGTTGAATTGGGACATTACCTTGACTTGGGACTTGACTCGGACTTGTCCTGCATTGAATTGGGACATAACTTGGACTTGTTTTGCCTTGAATTGGGACCTGACTCTGACTTGTCCTGTGTTGAATTGGGACATTACTTTGACTTGGGACTTGACTCAGACTTGTCCTGCATTGAATTGGGACATAACTCGGACTTGTTCTGCCTTGAATTGGGGCCTGACTCTGACTTGTCCTGTGTTGAATTGGGACATTACCTTGACTTGGGACTTGACTCAGACTTGTCCTGCATTGAATTGCGACATAACTCGGACTTGTCCTGCCTTGAATTGGGACCTGACTCTGACTAGTCCTGCATTGAATTGGAACTTTACTCTACCTTGACTTGGGACTTGACTTGGACTTGTCCTGCATTAAATTGGGACTTGACTCGAACCTGTCCTGCCTTGAATTGGGACCTGACTCTGACTTGTCCTGCATTGAATTGGAATTTTACTCTACCTTGACTTGGGACTTGACTTGGACTTGTCCTGCATTAAATTGGGACTTGACTCGAACCTGTCCTGCCTTGAATTGGGACCTGACTCTGACTTGTCCTGCATTGAATTGGAATTTTACTCTACCTTGACTTGGGACTTGACTTGGACTTGTCCTGCATTAAATTGGGACTTGACTCGAACCTGTCCTGCCTTGAATTGGGACCTGACTCTGACTTGTCCTGCATTGAATTGGAATTTTACTCTACCTTGACTTGGGACTTGACTTGGACTTGTCCTGCATTAAATTGGGACTTGACTCGAACCTGTCCTGCCTTGAATTGGGACCTGACTCTGACTTGTCCTGCATTGAATTGGAATTTTACTCTACCTTGACTTGGGACTTGACTTGGACTTGTCCTGCATTAAATTGGGACTTGACTCGAACCTGTCCTGCCTTGAATTGGGACCTGACTCTGACTTGTCCTGCATTGAATTGGAATTTTACTCTACCTTGACTTGGGACTTGACTTGGACTTGTCCTGCATTAAATTGGGACTTGACTCGAACCTGTCCTGCCTTGAATTGGGACCTGACTCTGACTTGTCCTGCATTGAATTGGAATTTTACTCTACCTTGACTTGGGACTTGACTTGGACTTGTCCTGCATTAAATTGGGACTTGACTCGAACCTGTCCTGCCTTGAATTGGGACCTGACTCTGACTTGTCCTGCATTGACTTGGCACTTGACTCTGACTTGTCCTGTATTGACTTGGGACTTGACTTGGTCCCACCTCTGCTTTTCTGAATCTACAGTCTATTCGCTAGCCTTATTGTGGATCAGTCAGTGGAGCATTTCACTAGCAATGCAAAGGTTGTGGGTTCAAACCCCAGGAAAAGCAAGAACTGACAAGTTAATTCCTTGAATTGTAAATCACTTTGGATAAAAGCGTCTGCCAACTGCTGATTCTTGAACCATGTTTGTAATATTCAGAGATCCCTAACAGCCTTAATAGAACATAATAATCTGAAAGGGACATGTTCAGAAATTAAAAGTTTAAGGACTTCTACATTAAACATTCTAATGACAAGGAATTGTGTGTTTTTTAAGATGTGGAAGAGTATGTAACAACTAAATAATTTTTTAACAAACTGGTCAAGCTATTTGGAAAGGTATGTATGTTGTCCTACTGAATCTGTAAATTCCGCATCAGAACTGAACACTGTATTTTACACTTAAAATAGTGAGTACTCTCACGACAGCACCCCCTACAGCTTACTGTTGTTATTGTCAACCATCATCATTTAAACAGCCAATTTAAGAAAAAATGTCTTTGTTGAAAGACAGATCCAATGTCAGAGCAGGCTGCGTTTGACCTACAGGCCTTGCCAATCTTCTGATGTCCCCCTTAAAATTCATTGCTAATAAAATAGAATTGCCGAGAAACTGTTTTAAACTAAAATCTTCTTTCTGAGTATCCCTTTAACTAATTCACCCGTTTCTCACCCGTTACTCACACCTTTGCAAACTTATAGCAGGCATGGCGTATGTCACTTCCTGCCGTAAAGTCTAAGGGATGGACATCTCTGTAAACACGTTGCTTTACACAGATTAGTGTCTCCTGACAGGAAGGAAGCCTCTGACACTCTTTCCCTCCCGCAATCCTCCCTTGTCCTGGGATCCTCTGTCAGCATAGATACCCACGAGCTTCCACATACACGACTGCCACGACCCCTAACCTCTGGCCCCTGTTTCCACTGCTGCTCTGTGTCATTTTCCAGAGTGTACACTGCAGAGGATCACTCTCTTAATCTGTACTATTTTGACTGGTTTTAATTTGCATAAACATCCCGAGGACAAGATATATTTACTTAAGACCTCAAATTTAATATGGTAGTGGCAACCTTTAGAAAACAGACTGGTGAAACATTTGTGAGTGGATGGAGTTTCATGTGGTCTTCATGAGACTGCAATTCATCTAATCAAAGTAGGATATAGCTTCATATTCAAATATATGTTATTGGTATATTTTAAACAATACATTTTTTCTTATCAGATGCCTTTATGAACGTAAAACCTGGAATATGCAGCATGAAATGTCAATCAAACATTCTGGTCGAAATCTGTTTGTATGTGAAAAGGAACCAATAGGGGTATCTTGTACCCCTAAGTTGTATTATGGGTATTGTCTGTCTGAATACTGTTTTCTGATTGGTTGGCAGGTGTTTAAATGAGCACTGATTGGTTGGCATGTGTTTAGTTGGTTCACTTTTTATAGATTAGTGGTACATCAGTAACCATAGTAACGTAACACACAGCTACAGTTGGAGGCGGAACAGCTAAAGTAAATATTTTCTAGACTTCTAGAAGAAGCCCCTTTTTTTAGCAATAAAATGAACATCTATAGACATTTCCCATAGACATCCATGTGAATATGCCTAAAACTACAGCCCCAAAAAAGTTTTTTTGTTTTTTTTTTGCTTGATTTTGCTTTCAACACTGGATGAAAAAGGCAAGGGTCTATCAGGAGCGTTTTCTGCACAAACATTGATTACTAGCAAAAGGGTCGCAGGTGAGAATGGTTACCTTTACCAGCCCCTCAAAGCCGTATTTGTCCGTCATCAAAACTTTTGATGAGTCATTTGTGAAGTTTTGTTGTCGTTATGATTTTAAAGGATCAAACACAGTTGTTTGACACTAAATGAGCAGAAAAAAATGCTTTCATGTTGCATTTTGTGGTGAATTTGGGGTTCTTTGAGATGTTTAAAAATGGTTAACTGTTGCCATTAGAGGAATATATTAAGATTTAAAATCTCGCCAGTCCCTAGAAACTTTCACAGGCACTTTTCAATGATGGAAGACATATTTGTCTTATTAGGGTTTGACCAAACATGGTTTAACTTCTCGAAAACTCGAAGTTAATTTCAACATTTGATTTGTTGAGATGACAGCTGTTTTTGCTCAGAAAGCTTTTTGTGTAATTGTCATCAGAATTAATGTCTTAAATGTTCTTTTCTGTTGGTGCAATTTTCTCTCACTACATCAGTTCTTCAGCTTACTCCAGCATTCAACATCTGGACAACCTTTGGGGTTCATCTGGGCATCATAGAGCACACCTCTACCTACCACATGCACCACACTAGTCACACACATGCATGCAGGGCAATGCGGGTGGAGTGGCTTGCCTAAAGCCATAACGACAGAATGCAGCTGACGGGGCTCAAAGCCCCAACTGTCCGGTTACAGGATGACAAACTCCACCACTACGCCACTTGGTTGTTGGTAATAATGATAGACTTGGATGTTAAATAAACATCATTGCTGCAATCTGCTTTGAGCTTATTTCAACAGTTCTCTTACGAACTAACAATAGCTCTTTTAAGAGCTCTGAGCATTAGCCTCGACCACTACTAGCCGCTCAACACAATATTTTACAAAAGTATTTGGTTCAGAATCTTTTTTTTCTAGATCTTCCTCTTAAAATTGGGTGCGTCTTATGTGCCGGTGTGTCTTATGAGCCGAAAAATACGGTATTTCATTAATTAATTTTCTTTACCCGCTTCTTCCCTTTTGGGTTCACAAGGTGGGGTACACCCTGCACAGGTTTCCAGTTTACCACAGGGCATCACACAGATTTAATCACACATTCAATCCCTAAGGGGAATTTACAGTATTCAATTAACCGTTTTTTTGTTTTTCAATGAAATGTTTTTGGGTTTGTGGGGGAAACCAGAGTAAATGGAGGAAACCCATTCAAGCATGGGGAGAACATGCGAGTCAAGGAGGTCAACAACACGTCTAGAACCAGCATTGCATATGAATGCGCAAAACTGAAATATTGCATGAATAAAGTACCGATGACATCCAACAAGTCCAAGAGAACAAATATCATACAACAAGTCACTTCAAGAAAATATATTAGTTGCGTCTTAGAACATGTAAAGGAAACGCAATGTAATTAAAATGCACCCTCATCATACCCCAATTAGGACAGAAAAACACATATATTCAGTAAATGCGTTTCCATTGTAGTTGTAAAAAAGTTTATCCTGATCGGATAAAAAAAAAAAGTTTATCCTACTCTGTTTTGCGCATTTTCAAATCTATGTGTATTTGATGATTGATGATCTCAACTAGTGAAAGGCCACAGTGGTACTGTGCCGCCCCATTCAACTATTTAACCGTTTAAAGCTCCTGTATCATCCAATTACACCAGATACTCGATGGTTATTTAATTCACTACTGAAACAGAATGATAGAGACATTCCAGATTAATTATTACCATATCCTCCTCTAATCTTAATAATAAAAATAATAATAAAAATTAACTATAACAAAACACATATTTGAGAGTAAAACGAAAATTGGTCCTTTTTCAATTTTAATTTAGCCGTCCGTAGCTGCTTTCAAATCCGATCAGTGGCTCTCAATTTTACAAGGTTATTTTAATTTATTTATTTTAATTTAATTTAAATAATTTTAGTTATCAAAAGTTTAGAATTTTTTTTTATTGCATCAGACCTTAAAAATTTGAACAACGTAAATCTCAAAGTCAAATCTGATAATTCAGAGAGTAAATTAACATCATATAGAAAAATATATCAGATTTTATATAATATATCAGAATAACAAAATCAAACATTTTCTTACATGAGCAAATTGAACAATCATTGAGAAGAACTGGATCCTGGATTCAAACATTTATCAACTGAATTATACAGACTTTAAAGAGTCTATCATTATGAAAAGTTAGTTACTTGTTTTTTGAAGTCTCTAACAACAGGTTGAAATGTTCCAAGGTCATCTTTTAATACTCTTTTATTTTTGAACGACTCGTTTTCTGAATCGTTCGTATAAAACTCCTCGTTTACTTGACGCAACAGTTATTGGTAGTGTGAACCGTCTGCTCTCATTGGATACCTTATGTCACGTGCATCTCTGACACAGAGTGTCTAACACAAACATTAAAGTACTGTTATTACTCATAAATTATGGAAGAAGGGAATTAGAAGTCAACAATACCATGACGCTTCCTTTTCAGTATGAACCTGTCACGCTGCAGGGATTTGAGAACATAAACGCGGGAGCTGAGGATAAAGGTCTGAGCTTTATTTAAAAGAAAAACAGAGGCAAAAAAAGACCCACAATAAACTTACATTAAACCAGGAATCAAACTAAGGCACACACAAAAGTACCTGTAGCTTGGCACTGAGAGTAGGAGAAGCTTTGTTTTAAAAGATGAATGGATGGCTCGTCGGTGGTAGGAGGGGTGTAGTTTTGAGCTAAAGATTCGGTTGAAAAAAAGAACTTGTTTCAGCGTCGACTCTTTAGCATTAAAGAATAAAACTCGATACACAGAGCACCTTCACAAACAAATGATCCTCCATCTTTGAGCTGTGTCACACACTGCATGAATGGTCTTTTTTCAATAAACGATGATCTCTCTAAGAATCCCAGGATTGAAACAATGATTTTCTAGGGTTTAAATTAAACAATTTTATTCAAGTTGTGTCAGGTATGTCCCACAGGAGGAACACACTGGCAGTTAATGTGTTAAATCAGAAAACGATGGGTCAATTCTTTCACCTCAACACTTGAAAGAGCAGAACTGGGCAGAGTCTCCTCTGCTGCGTATAGTCTGAGCTAAAGTTGACCCAGCTCCAGCGCACAGATTGAACGCAGGGAACACTGGCCTCCTCTGTGCTCCAGGTAATTAGCCTGAATTACTATGGATTAGCCCGAGTTAAGAGAAAACATATGGGCACTCTTGAACCTCCCCGGAGACCTTTCTGAGCGACACAGGTACTTCCAAATGTTTTCAGAAGCAGGTTTTCTAAGTTTAGCTTCAGCTGCAGTTAGACACTGATTATGAAGATAAAAAAGACGGTGGTGAGCAGCCAA